GCCAATGCATTTTGTTGTTACCGTTGCTGGCTAGCAGGCTAGCTAATTGGCCAGATGAGACATATGGCCCCTTGTGTCTTTCCCCTGCAAAGCCCCCTGTGCACATTTGATACCGTGTGTCTACTTCTCCTCGTTGTGTTTAAGATGCGTGATTAAAACCTGGTGCAAAGGACACATATTGGTGTTTTTCTAAAGACTTTGGGGCAGTTGGGTTGTTCTCTGTAGCCGCTGGAAGTCGTGAGGCTGTGTTGCTTTGATCTCGGCTCAGGCACACGTCAACCAAGCCGGTGTAGAGGGGCTACGTTGCGATGGAGGCTAAGTAGTCTGCAAATCACCTGCAAAAAAAATCTTGGGCATCTATTCCTCCTTAAATGATCAAACCCACAACTCCAGAAATGTGCCGATCTTTAAGTATGACCAAAATGTCACGAGTAACTTCATTATAAAACCTTTTATTGTCGACGTGTTAAAGGCAAGCACACATACTGGCTTATGCAAAACAGTGCAAATTATTAATGCCATAATGAGCTTGTGGTGGAGTCGAGATGCTTTTCTACAACGATGTGTTCCTCATCCCGCTGTTGAGTGTCGTATACATTATTGCAAGAAAACTATAATGGCTGCTTCTGTTACTGTCGATTCAATTCTAAAACTACACATTTGGAAACGGAAGTACGGTTTGCTTTTTGTTCGTATTATGTTTAGGGACTTACAACTTTGAAAGTCATGTTGTACATTTGTCATTAAGCAATGTAGCATTATCTGTTCTCATTTATTCAAGATTCAAAAATGTTAATAGATGAAAAAAACACAAGATATTGTTGCTGGCTTGACTATGTTTTGCTTTATTATACAGCATTGTTTCACTATAAAACTAAACTCACATTGTTGTTACACTCTGTCACCTTCCCATCGATATAAGTAAGGATAGACTATTAGAAACATCCAAAATCTGACTATTACAACCTTGATGAAGGTAGGATTCACTGCAGGGCTGTATTAGCTTTAGTTAGGTGTTCCTGATTAACTGGGAACTGAATGCAGATGTTGCATGGTGTGCATTATGTTAATTAGCCAATGAATGATCAGACAGAGGAGCTTAGCACTGCCCAGAAAGTATGAGTTTAATTGGATGAGCCAGCCTCTTGTAGTTTGGTGGAAAGTATCCCCAGTAGCCAACATGAAGGCCAGGCCTAGCATGTGGAGGCAAGAACAATTAATTATTTAATAGCTGCCAATAAAGAGTTGTTGTCCCAGAGTTATTTTGCCAGTTTATCTGTGGCTGTATGCATCATCAAAGCATTCCTTTGTGCATTTTCACTTGACAGGAGAATGCTTTTATCAAATCAAACTTCAAAGTTGATGTTTTTGCAATATGTGAGTCAAATGTCGTTGTTGCATTATATGTTATCATTTCAAAGTCTTGGTGAGAAACCAAAGCTGCTGAGCACAAACATATGCCGTGTTCTGAATTTGATGATGCAGAGCAAAAGGGGATTGCAGGGTATTCTGAAACACTAAATAGTCCCCTCTGTGTAGAGAGAACTACAGATACAGAGTCAGATTTCACATCTCTGTCTGGAGTTCATGTTCTTTCCTCAATTCAAAAACATTATTAATCCACTTTAAGTTATATAATTACCTATATGTTTCATGTTTCTCTTATGTGAGTGACCGTGTGAGTTGTTGAGGACTGGGCAGCAGTAACTTTAGACAGAAGTGTGCAGTATATTGTAGTTTTTGTAGGTCAGCTGCCTTTGAACGCATCACAGCAGATGCTAATGTTGGCAAGAGATGGGTGTGTTTATTGGAGGCATTCTTCTCTCTGTGATTTTTATTTTCAGCACAGAGATAAAAACCGCTGTAAGTTATTTTAAGCTTTGTATACTGTGAACCAAAAACAGTAGCCTATCTGTAAACAACAGAGGCTTACACATGATTGTATGGATTTTATATTGATCATTGAGTTAAAGGTGGGGTAGGTAAGTTTGAGAAACCGGCTCGAGATACACTTTTTGTTATATTCCATGGAATGCTCTTAACATCCCGATAGCAATGAATATCTTAAGTGCTTTGACAAAAAATCCATACAAACATTTAATCTGTGGAAGCCGTAGTACTGTAAAAAGCACGACCAATCATTTCAGCCGGGCGATTGGATGGCCTACCTGCCTGTCAGCCTTCCATCTGTGCACAAACTTATCTCGTGCCCTCATTGGTCATGTGCGTGTTTGTGTGTGTTGGAGTTGGGGCTCTGTAAGGAAGTGGCAGATTTTTTCCGGCTGTGTATTTTCAAATTCTAGCGCACTCGAGCTGGTTTCTTCAAAGTTACCTACCCCACCTTTAAGTCAAAGTAGTTCCAGAATGTAGGAATACTCTGTTATAAGTAAATGTCTTGCTTTCAAAATGTTACTCAAGTAAGAGTAGAAAAGTATAAGCATCAAAATATACTTAAAGTACCAAAAGCAAAGTTCTTATGCAAATTGGCCCATTTCAGAATAATATAAATTATGTGTTTGGATTATAATTATTGATGCATTAATGTGTTAAGGTAGAACCTATTTTAATGACTTTACATACTAAAATGAAAGGTGTAATTAAAGTCTTATTTAAGTGTTGATTATATTTCACATCATTAAACCAAATTTGCAAAGTAACTAAAGGTAAATAAATGTAGTGGAGTAGAAGTTCTAAGTAGCATAAAATGGAAATACTATAAGTCCCTCAAAATTGTACTTAAGTCCACTACTTGAGTAAATATACTTAGTTACTTTACACTACTGGTGGTGTGACCCGTTCTCAGTTCTCCTCACTGAAGGGGGAGGAGTTATAAAGTTTGACGAGAGGAAAGACGGAGCAAGAAGTGAGCAGGCATTCTTGATGTGGGAATTGAAGCATGCATATCTGTGCGTGTGAGACAGAGGAGGGCTGAGCTCCTGGAACAGAGAGTTAAAAAAAGAAAAGAAAAGTAATCGAAGGAGCTGAAGTGAGATGACTGCTGCAGATCCCTTCTCGAGGTGTTTGAGGAGGTATTAGGATTCAGGCTGGGCTGCAGGGGAGATTGTGTCTGGCTGCCTGGCAGAAAGAAGCATGTGACGCACCTGAGATTGGAAAGCCACCCTCAATTCCCACCGCAACCCGCACTTACTGCACGTCACACACTCCAACTGCCCTCTGTTGTCGTATTTTTGTCAGTGCTGGGAGTTCAGGGTTAGTGTTGAGTTCAAGGTTATGGCAAAGATAAATATACATGACTCTCTACCTCCGACGTCAGCATCCTTCCCTTTGAGTCCCCTTAGCAACAAAAATCCCGCCCAAAACACTCTCTGTCGAGGTCTTTTTCTGAGGAATCATAAAACTGGTCAGTGGAAGGAGTAATACTCTCCTCCTCACAAGGCTTCACCAAGTAACCTGTCACTTTGAATTATGTTTGATAACATAAAGACTGTGAAGAGCTCTTCCCGCTTGATCAAAGGAGACAAAGGACTTTGATCAAGACAAAATTACATCAATAATAGACAATATGTCAAAAGCTCGGTTATCTGAAGCCTGTGGGCACAGTTGCAACCCAATACAATCACTCTAATCAATTGCATCTGCACACATCACAAGCTAAGAGCTGGTATAAAACATTTTACTATGTTAAATCTGTTTACTCTTTGTGTGAACTGTTTTCGTGAATCGTTTTCCAGATTTTAGTGGTTAAAAACCTGGGTTTAAATTAGTGTATGTTTGTCGAAATATACTAATAGATATGTTGCAAGTAGTATAAAAAATCCCTGTCCATGGTGCTGGTACTGTGTATAGATAACCTTTTTTTTCAAAATCAGATGGACTTAGGCCTCAGACTGTTTGTATGAATATTAATGTTGATTGCCATTTTATTAATAACAATATTCCCCTTTGTTTGTGCATTTAGGCACCATTGATAATAGAGTAGTGAGTGACACATTGGGGTCCATGTCGCAGCGAGATCACTTTATGATTCGCTCAAAGAAGAATCCTGTCTGCTGAGCGACTCTCTGAACCTGAAAGACACAGGAAGTAAACAGACAGAGAGGAAGGTCAAAGTTCATCTGGAGTCCCAGCTGAAACTGTGACCTGTTTGCGCGGCTTGCCACCATAACAGGAAGTGGAGCACTGACGGCTTGGGAAGTGGGCAGGGACAAAGGCACGAGGTATCAATGAGCAACAGAGTGGGAAACACGCTTCTAAACATTGTGCACAACACACACACACACACACACACACACACACACACACACACACACACACACACACACATCCAAATCCAAAGTCCGGGCCGATGTAAGGTCAGAGTAAGAGGCTTTGATGGAAACCTGAAATACCAAAAACTTGTAGAAGTAAAGTCTCATTTTCATTCTCATATGAAAATAAATAAATGTTGTTGTATATATTCAAGCCCAAATAATGCTAATGTTCAGGTTCATATTTGTATTTTCTCTCTCTACTGTGACATGTATCCATGCTTTAATGTTCAAAAAGCTCTTTATTTTTCTCATACTGCCTGTGCTGCATCACCTCTTTTCACCCTCTGTCTGAAACCAGAGCCCAGTCTGCTCTGATTGGTTAGCTGGCTGGTTCTGTTGGGATTGGTCAAGAGCTCAGAGATTTCCCGCCCCCATCACGTACAATGTGTTGTAGCACTAGCCAATAGAAGCACGAGTGGTAGTGATGTCACTATCTTATAGAAGTAAACAAAGGAATCCAATTGGGCAAAAGCAGAAGGGATTCAATTGCAGTCATGTTCCTGATTGATACCTTTTTTACAGATATGACTATGCCCCACATTATTTCAGGGAAAGCATGTCGTGTGCAGTTTTGGTTCTGAAAATCAGACAGTGGTTGTCAAAGCTGGAGAATGATGATGATGACATTTCTCTCAAGCTGTAGCTGAATTATTTAGTGGTCTTTGTTCACTCATATTTATAGGCTGAGAGACACAAATAAAGAAAAGTTATCAGAAGATTGTTCACAACATGAAGAGCTTTGCACGGATCCGTTCTTTGTTTAATCCCCTATCGACATCTTCCTGTTTCCAGGTGTCCTTCTTCCTGTTCATCGTGTTCGTTGTCTACACCATGCTGCCCTTCTCCATGAGAGGAGCCATTATCGCAAGCGCCATCACTTGCTTCTCTCACACCGTCACCCTCAGCGTCTGCCTGGCCTCCACCGCCCCAGATCTGGAGCCTCTCGTGTGGCAGGTAACACAGATAATTGTTTATGCAAAAGGTAAATAGTCTGCCTTTATATAGCGCTTTACGACCACTCAAAGCGCTTTTGGATCACAAGTCAATTGGCTCAGTGGTAAATCAGCTTCTAAATCGGAGATAGAGAATGGGTCGGAAGTCAGACACTGTGTGGGTGGGTGTCGTCTGGCCAAATCACAAGAGACGTGACTTCAACAAATTGCAAAAAAATGTAAGTTAGGTCTTGCAAAAAAATGTATGAGGAAAACTGTGTTTTTAAAAAGGAGTGGAAAGACATAGTTAATGTTGTCCAAGTCAGTTTGATTTGCAAAGAAACATACATTTAAAGTGGATTATTAAGCTAATTTTCAGGTTCCTATTTGTACTTTGTGCCTCTACTGTGACATGTGTCCATGCTTTAATGTTCAAAAAGCTCTTTATTTTTCTCATACTGCCTGTGCTGCAGCAGCTCTTTTCACCCTCTGTCTGAAACCAGAGCCCAGTCTGCTCTGATTGGTTAGCTGGCATGATTGGTAGACCGCTTCGAGATGCCCTGCACCTTAGCCTATCACGTACAATGTTTTTGGACGGCCAGCCAATAGATGGGCCAATGTTAAGTCGTGATCTATGTTACGGAAATAAACAAAGTAGTGCAATGGAGGCGTTTCAGGCGGGGGGAGTGTGTGGGAGAGAAACTCCCTCTGGAGGAAACACAGTCATTTTAGCCTTTGCAGACCATTTACATGCAGAAAAAACCTAACACACTCTAGGAAATCGAAACCCCCCAAAAAGCATAATGGGGCATAATAATTTTTGAGGATGTCTGACCTTGAATACAAATCAGATATGGACCCTTGAGAACCTGTGTGACACACCAACATCACAGACCCTTAAGCATAAAATCTACATTTACATTAAGATACAGATAACACTTGAGGTACATAGGACAAAAAAGAACTGATTTGTTTGCATCAAATGAAGCTGACACACACACACACACACACACACACACACACACACACACACACACACACACAGTCCCTGACTCTTTCTAATCAACCTTCAAAGTACACACAGGCTGATAACAGTCAACTCTTGATATTCTCTCTTTACTTCCCTCTCTCTCACACACACACACACACACACACACACACACACACACACACACACACACACACACACACACACACACACACACACACCCAGTGGAAAAGCACACTAACAATAAAACATGTTCAGGAAACGTTACGGTAATTGCCCTTGGATACAGCGCTGAGGAAGACCTATTGATATGCACGGTCACATTTTAAATAGCTTGAGGTTGACATAGTGGTGGAAAAAGCTTGTTCTAAGTGTGTGCTCTGGCTCTGTTTTTACGATGTAATAGTAGTAGTGGAAGAAGCCAGACAATGTTATGAGAAAATAACTGCATACCTGGAACATGCGTCAACTCCTGACATTACTTTAATGCCTTACTCTTTGTGTGTATGTGGTGTATGTGGCAGATCTTAGCCAACGTGATAATCTTCACATGTGGAAACTTAGCCGGGGCGTACCACAAACACCTGATGGACCTGGCCCTCAAACAGACCTACCAAGACACCTGCAACTGCATCAAGTCCCCCATTAAACTGGAGTTTGAGAAGCACCAACAGGTACACACACACACACACACACACACACAC